TCACACTCCTAAAGGGGACAGGGCAACCCTTGTTCATGTCTCTTTTCCTCTCTGTTCCCACCTCCATCTTCTATCCCCATGGGAGGATGAAAAACAAGGACAGGAGGTCCAACCACCTCCATCTGCCCTCTCACAGCAATGAGGATGGCCCAGACTCTGGTGTGATGGGCTGGTACCTGGTCTCAAGCTCCTGGCACTAGGGTTTGGAACACAGCTGTTCATGCTCCATGGAGGACAGAGGGATGCTGTTTACCAACCTCTAGTCTCTGAACTCAGTCTAGTGGCCTTTCAGAAGTCACGCTCTACAGGAATGAAAGTTATGGAGAAGGAATTTTGTTATCCTCTACACACGTCTAGGTCAAGTTTATGATTGCCAGATAAAACAAGTATAATTTGTCCTTCCCAATAAACTTAAACAGACATGGCCCAGAAACATTTTCTCCGTGTCTTTAGATGATCACTCTTCTCTGCCTGGTGTCAGGTCTATAGAAAAATGTGACACCCTAGTAGTGAAAGCCCACACCAGGGTTTGAGTAATATCGGCATAACTGTTAGATTTTATTTTGTTATTTTTTTAACTTCATCATACACCCCTCAATAGAACTAAAGACTCCCTGTCCTAAGGCATCTCGTGATCTAATGATGTTATTGGGAAGTCACTGGTTTTTATTGTAGATGTTTTGTAAATCAAAACAATAGTTAATGTATTTTAATCCATATAAACAAGCCTATTAAGAAAAAAGAGGAGGAGCTATCCAACGTCGGGAGATTCATTATTCTTAGAGTTTGTTGTACTGTCTGTAACAAAAAGTTTTTTTTTTGTTTTATTTTTGTTTTTTAAACCAATCACAAGACCATTAAACATGGTGGTGGGGAGTAAACCTATAGGACCACTTCATAAGGAGCAATGAGCACTTGAAAATGATCAGTGTTTCTTTAAATTTGGGATACTTTGGGTGCTCTCAGGGAATGAATGAGAAGGACTAATATGTAAATCCCATTCTGCCTTAGTCTTGTAGCAGGATGCTCAGTTACATAAGGAAATAAGCAAAGGTTAGAGAGGTGAGCAGAGTCCAGATGAATTTACCCAGAAGGTTGTCCCAGATCAGTGGGGGAAGCAGAAGAATGTAGCTTCTTTCTTATCATTTGGATTGTCTGGAAATCCACCTCCACTGGTATGAGGAGAATTGCCATCACTCTGTGACCTCCCAAGCCCTTCCAGGATTCCCAAGGAGCTGGAAGCTCTCAAGCCAGTCAAACTCCTTCAAGACTCAGCATGCTTCCCAGAATCTTCTCTGTCACATGGAAGACTAGAAAGTATTTCTTATCTTGATGATTGGCTTCTGGTCCATTTGAGGATTCAACAGCCAAATGTGAAAAGGGGGATGCAAGATGAGGACTAGATCTAAAAATTGTTAAGGCAGAAAACAGACATGTTGATAGTCTGCATTCAAGGGTATAAAGGAAAATTTACCTTTGGGACATCCTAGTCATTTTGGAAGAAACAAGTAGGTAGCCCTTCCTCCATTATTCTGGTCAATATGGTAGCAGCTGACCCTGTGTCCCCATTTCAGAACATCTAGGGAGTTAATTTTGTTCATTGCTGTATCTATAGCATTTAGGGCAGTGGCTGGTACAAAATAGATATACAATAAATATTAGGATTGAATAAATGCTTAATCAAAGGAGGTAATTCTCTCCTGCTGTCGGGATAAATGTGGAGGCTGAGAAATATGTTCTGAGAACTTGGCATAAGTGCTTGACAGTTTCCTAAAGAAGCAACATCTTCTATAGTGACTGGGAGTTATTGAAAGAATGCTCTTGGAACCATGTACCAACCTTGTACGCACTTACGGCTTGACCTGAGGCCCTCATACGTCTATCATACTATGTCCATGGAAAAATGCATCTGAGTTCCAAGAAGCAGCTGATAAATGACCTTGAGAAATATAAACCAAACTTAGTTGAGACCTGCCTGAAACTCTAGGTCAGCTGTGGCTGTTTTGCAATTTGTCCACAAATAAGGCATTGCTGGGAAACATGAATGGCCTTTGTTCTTGTGGTTAATTTCTAGCGGGAAGTGTTATCGTATCAGGAATGTAGACTTGGACTTTATAGACCACCATGTAGCTATAGACATTGCCTCAAGTGGCTCAGGGAGACCAGAGGATCTTAAATAAACCATGAAGGAGTCTTTCCAGGTACGTTAATATCTTCGATGCTCTGGCTGAACAGAATGTGGCCCAGAAACATCATAGTTGGCCACCAGCAATCATGACTTTCTATGAGATGCAGATGAAGCAGAGCAAATCGGCTATCATCTTAGAAAATCATAAGTTTGGGCACGAGGCTGCTTAATCAGTTCTGAGGGATAGCTGGGCTATCGTGCATAAGGAACAGCACTGTTTGCATACTGATGCTCGTTTGAAGGGATGTGCTCCACGTAGACTCATTCAGGCTCTCTTGGAGCCTGGAGCTGGTATGAGAAGCAGGCAGTCTCAAGTGGCACCTGTGTTGAGACCCTAGATGTCCAGGCAGAAGTCTGACACCTTGTTCTTCTGCAGGAAGACTCTGGAGCCTCAGGGGAAGGTGGGGAGTTTGTCTTTCTGGCCATAAAACAGTGTCACCCTGCTGATAGAGGAGCTGATACTGACTTTGAGAGAGTTCCAGGGCTGACTGCTCAGATGTACTTTCTGGGACATGAAGAAGGGGCTGGCAGGTCTGGGCTGGGGCCAAGAACAGTGTTGGAACACACTAAGCCAGAGAGAGACTTTTAAGTAACTGGAGAGGTTATGGGGTCTCAGCCAGGATGTAGGGAATCCAGGCAGGGGTGAGGGACAGCACTGACCTCCTGAATAAAGGCAGTATCAGCAGTCATTGTGTCCCCGTCAGAAACCCGCCTGGTAGAGCGCAGTTGCAATGCTACCTAGTGACCTCATGTGTGGGCAGGAAGAAAGCCAGGAAGGGCATAACCAGCCTGAGCAGAAACACTGACACTATGTTAGCTTCATTTTCAGGTAGGCTCTCTTCAAGTGGTGGCAAAGATGAACAGCTGGAGTGCCAAGTTCATATCCCACCAGCTTTGTTACCAACGTGGGAAGACTTCTCCTCTTTCCCAAGAGGACCAGTGAAAGTTCCAAAGCTGATGCTCGTCGGCCCAGCTTTGTAGTATGACTGTGACCTTGACTGGCCAGGCCTGGGGGATAGGTAACTACTTTCAAACCATTGGACTGAGACTGGGGGAGAAGTGATTCCCCAAGAAAACCTGATTCCTATCATTCAAGAGGAGAGTGTGAGTGCTGAGCAGCAAAAACCTCACATTTCCACACGTCCTGACTTAGAAATATGTGATTGGGTATAAGTCAAAGCCAGAACCTAAATAAAGAACCAGTCACCTAAGGTCTTCATGCAGCTGCCAATGTTCCTAGAAAGTGAAGGGGTTTCCCCTGGGCCTGTTCTAGAATATTTCTTAAGATAAAGTATGCTCAAGCATTCGGCTCTGGAAAAGTAACCACGTCATTAACAAGCATATGGCCTGGAAGCTGGGGGAAGGGCAGGCAGGAGCCTGAGAGAGAAAGCTCACGTCCTTCCAGCAATAGGCAGTATTACTTAGCATAAAGGAGGAAATGAAGCAAGACTGACATCATGATGTGGGGGATTTTTTTTTGTTTATTTTTTGCCAAAGGAAAAAACAAAAGCTGTAGCGTCTGCATTAATATACAGCCTCATGAGATTCCAAGTAATTTCTGTTACTGTGATATTTTTAGGGGACAGTGACCTTCTTGATTCCTTATCATTTTCTAAGTTGTGAGTTAATCTAATCTGGCAACAGATTCGTCCCCATCAGGTAAAGTTCCTCTCATTCTTCAGTGGTACTTCTTCAAAGAATCTTTCCAGATTTATGTAAGGAAAGATCCTTTTTCTCTCTTCATCAGCATCTCTGCTTTGGGACATACCACTATGGTAGCACTTGCCGTGTGCCACAGTGATTTTTCACTTGGCCGAGAGGCTCTGTCAGGTAGGAGCTGTGAGATTTGAGGTGCAGCATTTGACTTCTCTGAAACACAAACTGGGACAACACTTCCTTCCACACAGGGTTGCTGCCAGAATTAAATCAGCCGATGCATGACTAACACTTAGCATGCTATCTGGCATGCAGCGGGAGCTTGGAAATATTAGCAGGTAGCATTTTAGTGTTTATTCTCATTTATTATTTTTTAAGATTTTATTTGAGAGAGAGAGAGAGAACATGAGCAGGGCGAGGGGTAGAGGGAACAGACTCCCCGCTGAGCAGAGAGCCCAACGTGGGGATCAATCCCAGGACCCCAGAATCATGACCTGAGCCAAAGGCAGACGCTTAACTGGCTGAGCCACCCAGGCACCCCTATTCTCATTCTATATAAGTGGAAAGGAAAAAAGAAAGAGAAAGGATAGGGGCATAAAGGAAGAGAAGAAGAGATGGAGGGAAAAGGAGGGAAGAGGGAAATATGGGAAGAGCTAAGAAGTAGCAATGCCAGGTTTGTCTGGAAGTAACAGCCATGTAGCCAGAACTGGCCTATTCGGCTAGGCAGGATCTTAATGTTTTGGAGATGAGGAAATGGAGGGACCAAGAAAGGTGAAGGAGCGTGTTTAAAACCACGGCCTTGGCAGAAGTGGGGCTGGAATTTGCAACGATGTGGATGGACCTAGAGGGTATTATGATAAGTGAAATAAATCAATCAGAGAAAGACAAGTATCATATGATCTCACTGCTATGAGGAATTTGAGAAACAAGACAGAGGATCATAGGGGAAGGGAGGGAAAAATGAAACAAGATGAAACCGGAGAGGGAGACAAACCATAAGAGACTCTTAATCTCAGGAAATAAACTGAGGGTAGCTGGAGTGGAGGGGGGTGGGAGGGATGGGGTGGCTGGGTGATGGACATTGGGGAGGGTATGTGCTATGGTGAGCGCTGTGAATTGTGTAAGACTGATGAATCACAGACCTGTACTACCGAAACAATTAATACATTATATGTTAATAAAAAATAAAAAAACAAAAAAAATGCATATAAATCAAAAAGGAAGGAAAAAAAAAAAGAAGTGGGCTGGAATCCAGGCTTTCCTGGGGCTACTCCTCACAGTCCCTGCTGTCCCTTGGGTTAGCCTTTTATCATCTCCATTCTCCTTAGTCAGTGCCCGGGCATCCACACGGCTTGATAAAGCTTAGCTGACCTCTGCCACCAGGAGAATAGGTCATTTCCTGTCCACCCTCAGGAGGGAGACTGAAGAGAACATAGGTACGTGGTGGGAATTCAGTGGTATCTGTATCTTCAGTGTCTCTCCTGTGAAAACCAGAAGACAACCGTTAAGGAGTAACATAGTCCTGGTCTTAATCCAGTAGGTACTGTGGGATCAAACCCTACTGCAACCATACTGAGGAGCCTTGACTCTAGATGTAAGCAGTGGGGCAGTGAAAGGAGAATAGTATATATCCTTCTTGAACACAGGTTTGGACTCAACTGCCTACAAGGATTACTGCCTTCCTTAGGAAATGGGCATGCATTTAGCTGATCCTAAGAGCCAAAAACAGAGCATCTGCAGCTCATCCTGGACAGAGTATCAGAAAAGAAACCCATCGGGGCGCCTCGGTGGCTCAGTCGTTTAGCGTCTGCCTTCAGCTCAGGTCATGATCCCAGGGTCCTGGAATCGAGCCCCTCATTGGGCTCCCTGCTCCGCAGGAAGCCTGCTTCTCCCTCTCCCACTCCCCCTGCTTGTGTTCCCTCTCCCGCTGTATCTCTCTCTGTCAAATGAATAAATAAAATCTTAAAAAAGAAAAGAAACCCATCCCTGTGTGAGTGGATTTGGTTCCTCAGAAACTAATGAATTAATAGGAAGACTCAAAGGGGAAGCATGAAAGGGGATGTAGGAATGAACTTGAGATAGGAGAGCCACATTGAGCATTGTAATGTCTGTAATATGCTTAGAACGTTTCATCACAGGCAGTGTGTTCTCATGTATGTATTCCAGAGTTATGAGATAGCCAAGATACTGTCGTTTGTCCTAATTGAGAATTTCCATTCTAGGGTGGAAAGCCAGCCTTCTAATTAGGAAACCTGTGCCCAGAAACAGCTACTGCAAAAGCTTTGATGATCTTTATCTCTGACCAGCAGCAGAAGCTTTACCAGTTGGCATAATTAATGTTAGAAATAGGTTTCTGTTAAAAAAAGAAAAAGAAATAGGTTTTTGTTGATGCAACTGGTGGCTTTTCAATTAGCATAATGGATCTACTAATGCAGTTTCATTAGTGAGATTGCTAGTGATAAAGATATGTGGATTTTAGAGTAGCTCCCTGCCCTTGCTTGAAAAGAGTATAAAAACTAGGCAGTCCTGTAGCTCTTAGTGATGCAATCCTGCATCCAGAGTTGAATTCTGAAGATTCTAGTCGCTTGGTGCTTATAAGATTAATTGAATTCTGGGGCGCCTGGGTGGCTCAGTCGGTTAAGCGTCTGCCTTCGGCTCAGGTCACGATCCCAGGGTCCTGGGATCGAGACCCGCGTCGGGCTCCCTGCTTGGTGGGGAGTCTGCCTCTCCCTCTGCCTCTCCCCCGGCTTGTGTGCTCTCTCTCTCTCTCTCCCCCACTCTCTCTCTCAAGCAAGTAAATAAAATCTTAAAAAAAAAAAAATTAATTGGATTCTGCTCCTAGAATATTTTCATGCTTTTCTGAAACAATGATGTGATGTCAGAGGCTGTAGCAGCCATGCCTTAACCATGAAGGACAAAAGCTAATATTTTGAGTGTATTAATTATCCAATACCGCTCCATCAAAGGGAGGTATATACAAAATGACTTCCAAAGACCAAAGGGGCCATAAGACTGAAGAATAAGGCTGACAAGTACAGCTTGACAAGAAATGATTTATTAAAGGGACTTACATGTCTTGGGTGGTGGCAAGAGAAGACCTCTGCAATCTCCTCCTGTAAGATCTGTCTTTGACCTGTTTTCATAGCCTTAGAGGCTGGGAGACCACCCAGGAGGAGAATGTTTGAGAATCACAGTCATATCTCCAGTGCAGATCAAGGATGTTATGCTCCAAGAGTGTACTTAAGGGTGTGGTTAAACAAAAAGGAAGAATGGTGGTGGTGGTGGTGGGGGGGTTGCTCAAAGAAGGCTTCAGGTCACAGAGGGGTTATCATGGCGGATTTGTCCAAGATGGCATCAATCTGGTTCACATAAATACTCCCTAATAAATTACCCCAAAACTTAGTGGCTTAAAAACTACAAAAATCTCCCATAGTTTCTGTGAGCTAGGAATTTGGGAAAGGTTCTGGTTTAGGAGTTTCTCAAAAGGTAACAAGAACGTGTTGGCTGGAGGTGTAATTATTTGAATACGTTTTGTTTGAATTTGAATTGTTTGACTGCAGCTGGAGGACCCACTTCCAAGATGGCACTCACATGGCTGGCAAATTGGTACTGCCTGCTAGAGGGAGGGCTCAGTTCCACTCCATGTCAGCTTCTCCATGTGGCATGAGCTTCCTCACAACGTGTTGTCAGGGTTCCCAGGGAAGCATCCTGAAAGAGAAAGCCAAGTGGAAGCTGTGTCCTTTCTGTAATCTGGCATCACCTAGAATCACTTCCACCTTACTCTGTTGATTGGGTTCAACAGTCTACGACCCCTACCTAGATTTGAGAGGAGAGAACATAGACCCCACCTCTTATGGGAGGAGCATCAGTCACATTGTATGAAGAGCATGTGGTGTGGAAGAAATATATAGGAGTGGCTATCTTTTGGAAATATAATCTGCCACACTGTCCTAGTGTGCTTGAGCTGCCATAACAGATACCATAGCCTGAGTGGCTCCCACAACCAATATTTCTTTCTCACAGTTCTGGAGGCTAGAGATCCCAAATCGTGCTAGCATGATCAGGTTCTCGGTGAGGGCTCTCTTTTTGGTCGTCTTCGTATGGTCTTTTCTTGGTACGTACACATGGAAAGAAAGACCCCTGTCTCTTCCTCTTTTTTATAATGGCATTAATCCCATATGAGGGCCTCACCCTCACCACCTAATCTAATCCCAATAACCTCCCAAAAGCCTCACTTCCAAATACCGTGGCATTGGGGGTTAGTGTTTCAACGTAAGAACTTTGGGGGAAGGGCACAAACATTCAGTCCATAACATACATTATGTAAAGGTGGTAAAGAGAAAGTAGAGAAAACATCTAGGTCTTCGATACCATCATTGTGCTTCTGAAATAATCAACTTTGGAAACACTTCAGGTTATCTTATTTCATAAGAGTACATTTTCTTTATTGATTTATTTGGGTATTCTATTATTGTAGCTAAAAGTGTTTCACTTGGTATAAAAGCTACAGCAAAAGACTGGGTTCAAATTTTCCCAGGGCTACTTAGATGATATTACTTCAACCAGAGCATTTAATCCCATCCATTTATTCAATCAGAGCATTTAATCCCATCCGTTTAATCCCATCCATTTATTCAGTCCCATCCATTTGTTTATCAGTGGCCTTCAGTGTGCCAACCAGGTACCGTTTAAGACACCAGGGATGCAATAGTGAGTAAAACAGACAGAAACCCCTGTCGTCATGTAGCTAACACTCTACTATGTGTTCTGTGATCTCTCTCTGTGTGTGGGTGGTGGTAGGGTGGATGGCAAGTGAGAAGCCAGATAAATAATTAAAATGATGTGAGTGGTAAGGCGGGCTGTGGAGAAAAATGAAGCAGGGAGGGAGGATAACGTGGCTGGGGATATCCTCATGCAAAAGGTGACAGTGAGTAAAGCCTTGAGGGAAGTAAGGGAGAGAACCATGTGCAAAGGCCCAGCTGGGGACAGACCTGTGTGTCTGGGGAGCATGAGGGAGGTCAGTGGATCTGGGGACTGAAAATAGTAGGAAAGGAGGACAGAAAGCTTGTGGGAGGTGGGAGGAAATTGTAGAGTGACATGGGAAGTCATCTGAGCTTTGGATTAGAGTTCATGTGATCTAACTTATATTTAATAGGATCACTTTGGCTGCTATGTTGAGAATTAGATGGAAGAGGGGCAAGGGTGGAAGCAGGGAGGCCAGGTGGGAAGCTACTGGAATAACTCCTATGAGGAACAGTTGGCGAAAGATTGGCAGCAATGAAGGTGCAGGAAGAGCTCAGATCCTGGGTATGTTTTGTGAGCATTTCCTGACAGATTGGAAGTGGGGGATGGGAGAAAGAGAGGTGGCAAGGATGACCCCAAGGTTCAGGCCTGAGCAATGCTACCAATAGTGTTTCAGGTTTCTATTGCTGCAAAACCAGTCATTACACCACATACATACAATTAGTGGTGCAAACAACAGCAAGTTGTTTTGCTCATAAAGCTGCCGTTTGGGCAGGGCTCTGAGGAAACAGCTTGCCTCTCTGCTCACTCAATGTTAGCAAGACAGCTCCAGTGTTGGGAGCTAGCTTCATCTGAGGGTTTGCTCACTCATATATGTGGTGGTTGATGCTGATTGTTGGCTAAGGTTGGGTCACCTAGATGTGGCCTTTCCACATGGCTGCTTGGCTTCTTCACACCATGGTGGCTGGTTCCAAGGTTCCAACGGTGAGTGGCCTCAGAAAGAGAGAAAGCCAAGGAGAACCTGTACCAAAACTCCTTCTTCCTCAAAGTATTTTTTTTTTATTTTAATTCCGGTATAATTAACACACAGTGTTATATTAGCTTCAGTTGTACAATATAGTGGTTCAGCACTTCTGTACATTACTCAGTGCTCATCATGATAAGTGTACTCACCTATTTTCATCCATCCCCCCACCCACCTCCCCTATGATAACCCCCAGCTTGTCCACTATAGTAAAGATTTTTGTCTTTTTTTGTTTTGTTTCTTTTTTTGAGGGGGAGGGATTCCAGCTCTTTCTATTTTTCCCCTTTTACACAAAACAAAGAAGAAATAATACAAGATTAAAACTGCAAAAGTAGTTAATTGGTAGAACACATATACACAAAAAAATCCAGATAGCAAGATAGGCTTATCTACAATGAGGAAACACATGTAAAAATCAAGGTAGTTTGTAGTTTTCATATGAAACATTAAAAAAACCAAATCAAACATTTGCTACAATGGGTGCCACTGTTCACAGTAATATTGAAGGTGAGAAGACAATACTTATTTAGGGACAGATATACCACAAGATCCAGCATCAGTGCAATAAATTCACAAAACTATATTACAGCTAATTAATCAGAGTTTAAGAACTGTTCCCAAATGTCACATTTTCGGCCCTCAGAGGTTCATTCTTACAGATTCCAGCTATTCTAAATTTCTAGCTACCGAGAGGGAGAATGATTCTAAGGCACTTTCCAAGCAGTTACAAAATCTCTGTAGACCAGAGGCCATCTGTCATCGCCAAAAGTCTTCTCTCCCCAGCAGCCCTTGCACTCTTCAGAGAGAGAGAGAGAGATCTAGGGAAAAAGTCAGATGCCAGCATAAACACCACTGTGCCAAATCTCTGGGGACCAAAGCAGCCAGCAGTTACCCTCAAATGAGAATCTTGAGGCTTACCTTTCAAGGCTTAGTCTGATCTCGAAAATTTAGTAGGCTAAGATTATTTTCTACTGAAACGAATCTTAGACTAAGTATAGGAAGACTTCTGTCCTTTTATTGGCTGGTGTTGGAGTGAAGGTCATAGACCTGAGTCTTAACCTATAGTAGTAGTCAGCTGAAAACCTGAAATTAAAAATATGCTAAAAATCCTAAACACAAACTTCTGGAAGCCTGCTGTTTAAAAACCTCTAAGGAACTAACTTGAAGTCTAAGAGCAAGGAGAGACGAGCTCGAAGCTTGTCATATTCCCCTTTTGGGAGGGAAGATCAATGTTTCTTACAAATCACTAAGTTTTGCACAAGGCAGAAACCAACACATACTAGGGCATGGAATTGGTTTCATTTTATTCCAGAGGATTCTTCTCCCACAGTATAGAAACAGCATGAGGAATGAATCTTAATTGGTCTCTTCATCTTTGTCAACTTGGTCTCTGTATTCATGAAGCCAGGCAGTTCAAGCAGACTGTGGAAGCAGACAGTAGAACCAGCTTCCTGTAGCCACAGACCTCTAGCTTGGATCTAGCTCAAGCAAAGATCAACTGGAACAATTATCCAAAGTCACAGTTAACTGTACTAAAAGGTGAAGCTCACCACTATATTATTTTAAAGGAAGTTGCCTAAAAGTAAGAATTCAATTAACCTGGGTGAGAAAAATCAAAACAAGTCATACTCACGAATGAGTTGTCCATATGAAGCCAACTGATGAGAATGCATCTAGCTACATGTCACATGAAGACCCTATGCATAAAGCCTTACTTGGCAAGTCTGAATTTCTACCAACTAAGGGCAGAAAGAGGGAGAACAAAGAGCTACTTCTGTAACATTTTAGTGTCCAGACAGCGTAATAAAACTGTTCCCAAGGACAATGTATATGCCATTCATTACACCGAATAAAGCAGATGCATTATTCATTTTTTTTTTCTTTTTGTTTAAGAAGCTTATTTATCTCCCTTTTGGCCATTCCAATGTACTTCAAAGTGATTCCATGCTGGTTTAATCCCGGAAACAACAGTAAGAAAATCACTATCAGGTAGGTGAGCAGCCAGTTTTGGACTTGCTGTCCCACCCAAGCAACCGCAGCAAGAGAAACGATCATGATCAGGAAGTACATTTTAGGCTTTTCCTCCCTTAGAATAAAGAGGCGTTTCCACCAGCCCACAGCTCTGTGTTGAGTTTTTACCAGATTGCTACAAATTTCATGGAATTTTTGCTGTTGCTCAGTGGTCCATTTACTGGAGCCAAAAATTCTAGGAGCTAGAATGGGAACAAGGTAGTCAGCCAAGCACAAAAACCTAACAAAACAGGAAACACGGGACAGAACAGATGGATCCAGATAGTAGATAGTCAGAAACACCCAAGAAACCACACCCATGACGGCAGGTGGAAACCAGGCTCTTTCCCATCTGAGGACTTTATCAGCCATCAGCATCACTTCTCCCCATCCCTGAGGCTGTTCTTCCAGACTTGCAGTCTCTGCAGCCAGCAGGTTGGTGCTGCGATTTTCTCCCTCTGCCATCGTCCCGGAGGTGCTGCCTTAGCTGACGCAAGCCGCCCCCCAAACAAGCTTTCCACTGAGACCCACACAGCGACCCTCGTGCCTTGTTTTGTTTCTTAAATTCCACATATGAGTAAAATCATATGGTATTTGTCCTTGACTGACTTATTTCACTTAGCATTATACTCTCTAGGTCCACCCATGTTGTTGCAAATGGCAAGATTTCATTCTTTTTATGGTTGAATAATATTCCATTGTATATATGTACCCCCCTTCTTTATCCATTCATCTGTAGATATTTGGGCTGCTTCCATAATTTGGATAATATAAATAATGCTGCAATAAACATAGGGGTACATGCATCTTTTTGAATTAGTGTTCTTGTATTCTTTGGGTAAATACCCAGTAATAGAATTACTAAATCATAGGGTAGTTCTAATTTTAATTTTTTGAGGAACCTCCATACTGTCTTCCACAGTGGCTGCACCAGTTTGCATTCCCACCAACAGTGCACAAAAGTTCCTTTTTCTCCACATCCTTGCCAACACTTGTTGTTTCTTGGGTTTTTTTATTTTAGCCATTCTGACAGGTGTGAGGTGATCTCTCACTGTGGCTTTGATTTGAATTTCCCTGATGATGTGTGATGTTGAGCATCTTTTCATGTGTCTGTTCGCCATCTGGATGTCTTCTTTGGAGAAATGCCTGTTCATGTCTTCTGCCCATTTTTTAGTTGGGTTATTTGTTTTTTTGGTGTTGAGTTGTATAAGTTCTTTATATAGTTTGGATACTAACTCCTAAATGATTAAGATATGTGATTTGCAAGCATCTTCCATTCAGTGGGCTTTTAGTTTTGTTGATTGTTTCCTTTGTTATGCAGAAGCTTTTATTTTGATGTAATCCCAATAGTTTATTTTTGCTTTTGTTTCCGTTGCTTCTTGAGACATATCTAGAAAAATGTTGTTATGGCAACAGAGAAATTATTGCTTGTGCTCTCATCTAGAATTTTTATGGTTTCAGGCCTCACATTTAGGCCTTTAATCCATTTTGAGTTTGTTTTTTGTGTATGGTGTAAGAAAGTGGTCCAGTTTCATTCTTCTGCATGTAGCTGTCTAGTTTTCCCAGCCCCATTTGTTGAAGAGACCATCTTCTTCCTGTGCATATTCTTGCCTCCTTTGCCAAAGATTAGTTGATCATATAATCGTAGGTTTATCTCTGGGTTCTCTATTCTGTTCTATTGATCTATGTGTCTATTTTTGCGCCATTACCATATTGTTTTGATTACTATGGCTTTGTAGTATATATTGAAATCTGGGATTGTAATACCTCCAGGTTTGTTCTTATTTTTCAAGATTGATTTGGCTATTTGGGATCTTTTGTATTCCATACAAATCTTAGGATTATGTGTCTAGTTCTGTGAAAAATGTTGTTGGTATTTTGTGTATCAAACTTTTGACATCACCGTGGGAGTCTTGTGGCACTTCTCATACTTGGTATGCATCCAGGCAGTTACAAAGTTCTGCCAAAAGTGGAAGAGAGGGAAATAGACTCCATCTCTTCATGGGGGAATGGCAAGAGCATATGAGAGTGAATATATTGTTGTGGGATTTTTGAAAAATAAAATCTGCCGCAGATGGAATGGCTATTTACTGACACGAAGAAAACTAGAGAAGGAGAAGGTTAGAGTGGGGTGAGATCAGAATCTGGTATCAGGAGTTTGAGATAATTTTGACATGCCCCTTGGACTTTCAAATGGAGAAGACAAGCAGGCAGGTGGATATGTGAATTTAGAGGTCAGAAAGTACCATCTGTGTCTAGTCAATATTTAAGATCAGAAAGGCAGATAATATGACCAAGGAAGTGAGTGTAGATAGAAAAGAATGTGATCTAAGCATTGAGTTCTGGGGCACCCTGACATTTAGCAGTAAGGGGAATGTGGGGATAAGGAGAGGCAGGGAGATGGTTTGGTGCCCTGGAAGCCAGGTGAGAAAGGTATTGAAGGAGGCAGTGGGCCATTGTTTTCAAAGTCTTGTAGTTTATGATTCTGTGATGGTAAACACCTGAACAGGTATTAGTATTCCTCCTTCAGGCTGTTAGGCTCTGTCAATCCAAATTCTTCTCTCCTCTGCTGGACCAGAAGCTTCTGGAGGGCAAGGTTATTAGCTGTAGTCACTTTTCAACCCTCTAAGGAACTATCATAGTGTTCCCCACACAGTCGATACTCAATAAGTGAGAGTAAACAGAAATTGGCAACAAAGAGAGACCCTAAGATTTCAAATCCCTTAAAAGGGCAGTTATAAGCTTGATGAAACAGTCAATTCTCATTATTTGTGTTAGTTATGTTCCATAAAGTTTCTGTGAACACTGAATCAGTAAACACTGAACCATCATCCCTAGTGGAAACAGATTCCCGCGAACTTCTGGTCACAGCAGTTTCCTCTGCCCATTAATACATAACTTTGTTTTATGTATGTTTCTGTTTAAGGCACCTTATTAGATGCTGTTGATTCATTAACATTGAACTCACGACCAACAGCACTGTAACTCAGGCCTGCCCGGAGCTTGTCTAACACGTGTCCTCTCTCCATCGGGCCCCTTCCCGCCAGCACGTCAACACATGCTTGGGAGTAACTCTAAACCATGAAATCACCAACAAAAGACACCAAAACGTGAAAAACATGGGGCACCTGGTGGTTCGGTAGGTTAAGCGTCTACTTTCAGCTTGGGTCCTGACCCCAGGGTCCTGGGATCGAGTCCTGCATCGGGCTCTCTGCACAGTGGGGAGCCTGCTTCTCCCTCTCCTGCTACCCCTGCTTGTGCACATGCACTCTCTCTCTCTCTAATAAATAAAACCTTAAAAAAAAACCTTGAAAAATGTGACACTAAATAGACTGTGAAAAGGATGTTTGTAGAAAGAATGGAAAGTAGAGCGTCCCCTTGTTCAAACTCGGCTGCCTTGCTCGGACTGCAGCTAGAAGGGAGTGCATTCAGTGCTTCAACTTTTTGCTGTCTCTCATGACCACAGAAGGACCGGGAGTATTGATTTGGGGATAACAGATACATTTTAGCCAGTAGGCACATTTGCAAAGATGGAATCTGTGAATCAAGAGGATGACTGGATCTCATTTGCCTTAAACTGAAGGTAAAGATGCCAAAGAACAAGGGTTTTATAGCTTTTTCTCTGTACATCCATTTGGAAGGGGTCCTAACTTCTGTATATTTTAACTTTCAAGATATTGTTACTACTTTGGGGCTTAACGTCTTGCAAAAGAACTCAAATTATAGTTTGTTTTGACCTCATTCACTTGAAAATGGCTTTACATTTTTGAGTCTATTCACTTTGGTCAGCAGGTTCTTCCTACAGTCCCATAGAGTGGATGGTCTGAGGAAGTTTTTCTCTTCAGGCACTAAGGTCATTGAACAGAGTAAGTTGGCATACTCATTTAACATTCTTGGGGGAAGACAGGCACCTACAGAGAGAGACTGTGTTGCAGGCTCTAACTTTGCTGTGGGTCAGAGCCAAGTCCATCTAGAATCCCACCATAGTACAAAGGTGTTTGCCTGGGTAGGCTTTCAATACTGTGTCAGTGTCAATTTGCAGAAGTTCCCTGGAACACTCAAAAGCCCAAGAATGTGCCAGGGAGTTGAAAGTTGGGAAAAGTACAAACTAAATAGTATTTACAGGGATTGAGCCCCAGATAGTACCAGCGCTCCCAGGACAGATAACCACCTCTCTCCCTGCTGCGAGCTTTCCAGGAAAGAAAAGTCAGATTTGGTTTTAAGGGAGAAAATATCTTGCTCTTTTGGGTTTATGATATTTATTTATTTTTTTCTCTTGGTTTTAATAAGCAATTTCCTAAATAGCTAAATTTAACAAGAAAATGAAAAAGAGAATGAACAGAAATGTGAACTCCAAAATCCTTTAAAAAATGCCCTTATAATTTTCCATGGAACAATTTTTTGTATAGTTAAGGAAGAGCAACTTCATCACCTTTTCTGGCATCCTCAAACCATTTGGTTGCTAATTCCCAAAAAAGTTATTTAGCTCATTGAAGAGTAACGTGGCTGCCTGATGAAATGCCCACTGGCTGCTTGGAGCTGAGGAATCCCTCTGGGGAGGCTCAAGGGCAGCCCCAAGGGTATGGCTCTGAGTCCAGTTCCTGTTGGAACCTGCCGTAAAACAAGTGCAAGAGAACCTGAGGGCCTCTGTGGGAGAGAGAGCAGCATCCATCTTGCCATCAGGCTGATCAGCTTTCCTTAAAATGTTAAGACCTCCTGCCAAGGTAATGTCTGGGCTTGTGCAGAGGCAAGAAGCAAGGCAGGAAGCCACTGTACTTGTTTTGCCTAGAAGTTAATCTTGAACTCGCAGAGGAGCATTTAATGTCCTGTGGAAGCAACACTCTCCAAATACAGCAACCTCGCCATTCTGGGAACCAGACTGCCATTGACCTGAGCTTTTCCCGCCACGAAAGATTTTGGAAAAGGCCTTTGAAGAAAAGGCAGTCCCAAAACCCATCCACTTTCCTAGGGCCAGAGAGCCGGGCAGATGAAGCAGGAGGCCCCGGGAAAGGTTTAAGCATTAAAACCCCACTGGCATAAACAAGAAATGTGATGGCAGCTAACTCAGGGTTCACTAACAACTGTTCCTATGGAAGTAAGAGGTTCCTTACTGTCAACTTCATCACTGTTGTTCTTTTTGGGGAAGCCTTCCTTTCTGTGATGTCTCCAGGCAAGCAGTGGGACACATCTGCATGTGGACCTCCGTCTCCCCACCACCTGAGTCCACGCCGAGATGAGTCACAGCCAGCTGACCCGTGAAGCCAAATAGCGCACAGCTCCTAAGATGTTGTTCCTCTGGAATGAGAGGGTTCTTTATTTTTTATTACCTAAATGATATGCTCTTTAATATGCCTCACAAAACGGTCTGGCTTAGAAAACTGCCCACGATACGTGTATGTAGCCATTTCCTGTTTTGAATATAAAGAAAGGAGTGTATGATTTTCATTCATAGAAGTTTCTCACCTCCACTCATGTTGAACAAATATGTTTTCAAGGAGAGCAACATTATTAACTGTCTTCGGCGGCGGGGGCGGGGGGGTGCTGTTTCTTTGTCTGGCCCTCCTGGTTTGACTGGGCTACTGGGTTCCTTTCCTATCCTCAATGGCCAGGGATGGATGATCTGAAATCGCACGTCTGGTTTACAAAAGCCAAGTGTTCTGGAGAGTGCTCTCTTGCTCTCCAGCTAGGGTGACCAACCATCATGCTTTTCCCTGGACTGAGAGTTGTCAATGCTAAACCCCGGATGAGTCGGTTCCCTTATTTCCATGCCTAGGGAAGCGGTGGAGTAAAGGATTTGCCAATGTGGGCTCTGGAGCTCATTGCCTGGGTTGGGACCACTCTCCATGATTTAACTTGCCACGTAACTGTGGGCAAGTTACTTACCCTCCCTGCTCCTCAGTTTTCACACCTAAAAACTGGGGGGAAAAAAATCTACCTTTTAGGGACATGGTAAAGCCAAAATGAAATAATTATGTAGAAGGCCCCTTGGTGTGCCGCACATGTAGGAAGGGCTCGTAAGTGCTGGTTATTATTGTTGTAACGATTATGATTTGAAGGTATAGTAGTGAAGAGGGCAATCCTGTGGGAAAAACAGCAGTTGATATACCCGATCTCAGCTCAGGGCTATCAAGAGGTGGTCAAATAACACTCATGACAACCTGAGAGTGTGGGAAAGTGTTGGATTGTATTCTTCCTTTTGGAAGTTGTTTATCAAAATGGATTTGACTTTGAAAAGTTTGGGTGCCCTAGAGGGGCAAGTTTCCATTATCTGGAACATCCAGGCAGATGGATTTCTTGGATAGGGGAGGCAAAACTCTGTCATGCTCAAGGCTCTGCAGGCCTCCTAAATGTCCTCGATGGGGCGCCAGACGCCAGAGGGGCCGGGGTTCGGGGGGAGCCTGTGGTTTGTTGGCCTCTCCCAGGGGCACAGTATCAGGCTGTAACCCTTGGCATATGCTGTGGAAAATCTTCCTGCACTGGCAGTGGGGTTCCAGACACATGTGTTTTAGATCAGTGTTAATCCAGGGTGCTTCTGCAGCTCTTACTTCCAGCCACTTGGTCTGCAAAATTTTTGCTAAGTCATTTGACCTCGCGAATCTTCTGAAACAACAGTCACATGACCAGAGGACACTGTTGTGGGCACACAGCTTGCCCACGGGCACGTATTTTTGCAAACTTGATCCAGCCAGTATATGCAGATCACATACTGCATGCCCTGCATTGAATTAGGGACCTGGAACTTACTGGGAGCAGTAGGGCCAGGCTTTGTCCGTAAAGCGCCGGCCTTCTAGCGGGAAAGACAGGTCTGTACCCTAGGACTACAAGCCAGACCTTTAAAAGTTATATAAACAAAAACATAAACTATGTGGCTCGGTAGCACAGAATAATTCATTTTGTCTGGGGAGAATTGCAAAGGAAGGCACACCAAGCTAGGCTTTTGAGAAAAAGTAGAATATGCAGGACTTGGACAAGCTGAGACAGGGCAAGAATGTTTGGGCAGAAGGCATGTGCAAGCAGAAACCGTGCGCAGGCTCATGGCATCATGTCGGGCGCCCAGCATGCTGGACTGGACCACAGGAAGCACAAAGGGGGTTTGCTGGGAGAGCAGCTGGGCCAGCTCATGGAGGATGGAGTGAATACACGACCACAGTCTGCACTTTCTTCCACATGCAAGAGGAAAGACTTTCGAGCTAGGGAGTGGTAGGATTATAAGGCCTCAGAAGGATGATTTGGTCAAGGAGAGAGTCAGTGGGCAGTTATATGTAGGGGGCAGGAAGACGGGAGAGGGCAGAGGTCTTAGTCATGCAACACAGATTAAGAGCTGATGAGGCCTGAACTTTGGAAGTGGCAGAGAGAATGGCAGGAAGGAAAGGGAAGACACTAAATGAAACTTTGGGAGGCAGAAGGAGAGGATTTATCTCCATTTGTCTACATCCAACTCCACTGTGGGAACTGAGCCCGGAGGGGCAGCCGCGAACGGAAGAGGGGCAGCTGCGAACGGAAGAGCAGCAAGGATCATAGGTTGCAAAGCTGAGGGGCAGGGGGTTGGTTAGCCTAGAAAAAAGGCTGACTAGCACCTCAGTGATAGCTTGCTGTACACGAGAGACAGCAAGCACACCTGTTTCCTCATCTCCTCCAAAAAAGGCTCAAGTTGAGGTCTGGAGAGTGTAGAGGAGATATGAAGAAAGAATTTCCAAATGGGGAAAGAGAGGCCAAGGGCAGGACATGTTTTACCTTCAGGATGGTTTTGTTTCCAAGCTTCGGTCTGTGCGTCACTGCCTGGCCATGGGAAGAGATGCCTCCTTCCATCCGCCTTACTGGAAACCACCTCAGTCCTTCCTTGGTCAGTGGCTTCCTCTTTGAACAGAGAAGTCAGCATCACTGTTACTGAAAGGAAAAACCAAAAGCACTGGATATGAATTCACCGTTGGAAATAGCTGTACAAAATTCTTTTGTTAATTTCAAATCAGCAGATCGAACATAACAGGTGTAAGTGGGTTTGTGATCGTGTGAACTGTCAAAATCAAATCTCCTGAAGTGGCCTATGACAGAATGCCACTTCAAAGCCGCTTTGGCAGGAAAAAGGGCGGATTGCAAGGTAATGGGGGCATCTGCAGTCACGCAAGACAGGAAGTGACTGAGAGTCACTGAGTTCCCAGGGCCCCATTCCGTCTTGGCTTCTGCTTCTCCCAAATCGGCTGCCTTCTCTCTCTCTCTCTGCAGGCTGACCTTCACCACCTCAGCCACCCCACGCCACACACCTGAATGGCCTGTGCGCAGGTCACAGACAAAGCTGGTTCACGTCTCTTTATCTTAATTCCGATCTTGCGGGGACTCTGCGCACCCCCCCACCCCGGGGCGAGTAATCCGTATAGCTCCAACAGAGCTGCTGAAAGGTGTGCCTTGCTGTGGACAGGGCGGGGCGGTTCACAGGCAAGCGTGTCATGGGCTGGCTTCCCTGTAAAAATCATGCCACAATAAACTCGAACCTTGTCTGAGCGTGTGGCAGGCTATTTGAGATGCAGAGACCAGGAATGTGTTAATAAAGAACTTCTAGCACAAAATCACTGAGAAGAGTCACCATCCAGAATTGTAGAATCGTTTGATGCGATTAAATTATCTAGTCAGGCGGTCAGCCAAGAAAACGTTGACTGGCCTTCGGCATCCTCGAAACCGAGGAAGGGTCCACCAGGCATTTCGGTTCTGGGAACACACAGGAGCTGCCACTTCGGAAGAGTCTTCCACCATCAAGCTGTGGCCGCTTTGTTTTAATCACGTCACTTCCCTTCTCAGAGGTCCTATGTATTCCTATTTTGTCATCTTAAGCTTGTCAGCAAGAGCTCCAAGGCCCATACCATCACATTGCACCACACTCCATCCTAACCCATTCCCTGTCGTTTGTTGTTGCTTATCTCATGTGCTACCCGACCTCCGTGGTGTCACGTCCAGGCGGGCTGTAGAGCGCGTTCCTGCGTCTCGCCCTTGAAGATTCTGATTCTGGGTCGTAGGAGTCTGTGTGTGTGTGTGTGTATAATTTATTTATTTGAGGGGGGGATGGACAAAGAGAGGGGAGAGGGGCAGAGGGAGACGGAGAATCCTAAGGAGGCTCCATGCCCAGCAGGGAGCCAACACGGGGCTCAATGTCATGACCCTGAGATCATGACCTGAGCTGAAACCAAGGGTCAGCCGCTTAACTGACTGCGCCATGCAGGCGCCCCTGTATATTTTTTAAAAAAAACTTTATTGAGGTATAATTGACATACAACAAGCTATTCGTATTTAAATGTACATTTTGATAAGTTTTAACATATGTATATGCCTGTGAAACTATCACCAAAATCAAGATAGTGAACATATCCATCACCCCCAAACGTTCCTCATGCCCCTTTGTCACCCCTCCTTCCTGCCCCTCCCTTCTTGCCCCCACCCCCTGCCCTTCCATTTCCAGGCAACATGCAGTTGTAAGAAATAATACAAGAGAGATCCAGTGCATTCTTTATCCAGTTTCCCCCCAGTGGTGGCATCTTAAAAAACCATAGTACAATATCACAGCCGGGTGATGTAGCCAAGATATGAAATCATCCCATTTCCACAAAGATCTCTTTTGTTGCCCTTTAATAGCCATACCACGTCCCTCCTCTCAACCCATCTCTGACCACTGGCAACCAGGAATCTGTTCTCTATTTCTATTATTCTGTCATTTCAAGAATGTCACTGTATAATCTTTCGAGATTGGCTTTTTCACACAACACAATTTTCTGGAGATTCATACAAGTTAAGTGTATCAATAATACATTTCTTTTTATTGCTAAGTAGTAGCAATATGGTATGGTATGGATAGACCATAGTTTGTTTAGCCACTCACTCTGGGTCTTTTCACCTTTATTGAAGTAAAATTGACAAGAAAAATTATAAAATATTTAAAGTGTACATTGTGATGATTTGGTATGCATATACGTTGTGAAGAATTCCTTCCCTTGAGTTAATTTAACACATCTATCACCTCACATACTGACCTGTTTTTGTTTTGTTTTGGTGAGAACATTTAAGTTCTACTCTCAGCAAATTTCAATCGTAAAATACAATGTTATCAACTATACGCACCATGTTATACATTAGATCTTCTGACCTTATTCATTTTATAGCTGAAAGTCTGGACCCTTTCAAACCAACCTTTCCTTATTTCTCTCCCCCCAGGCTCTTTTAATCACTTTACTCTCTGTTTCTATGAGTTTGACTTTTTTTTTTTTAGATTTCACATTTAAGTGGTACCATGCATATTTATTTTTCTCTATCTGATTCATTTCACTTAGTGCAATGCCCTCAAGGTCCATCTGTGTTTTTCACAAATGGCAGGATTTCCTTCTTTCTTGTGGCTGAATAATATTCCATTGTGTATATGTACCACCTTTTCTTTATCAATTCATCTGTTAACTGACACTTATGTCATTTTCCTATCTTGGCTATTATAAATAATGCTGCAATGAATTATGGGAGTACAGATATCTTTTCAAGCTCCTGTTTTCATTTCTTTTGGACATATACCCTGAAGTGGGATTGCTAGATCATATGGTAATTCTATTTTTAATTTTTTGAGGATCCTCCATACTGTTTCCACAATGGTTGTACCAATATATGTTCATACCAACAATGCATGAGGGTTTCCTTTTCTCCACATCCTCACCAACACTTGTTATCTCTTGTCTTTTTGTTGCTAGCCATTCTGACAGGTGTGAGGTGATATCTCATTGTGGTTTTGATTTGCATTTCCCTGATGATTAGTGATATTTCCTTTTTAACGTACTTGTTGGCCATTTGTATGTGTCCTTCGGATAGCCATTCACTCTTTGAAGGACATCTGGGGTAGTTACAACTTTTGGTTATTAAAAATAAAGCTGCTATAAATATTTGTGTATAGGTTTTGTGTGAACATAACTTTTCATTTCTCTGGGATATACACCCAGGAGTGTAATTGCTGGGTCATATGGTAGTTGCATGTTTAATTTTAAAGATTTATTTATTTATTGGAGAGAGAGAGAGAGAGCATGAACAGGGGGAGGGACAGAGGCAGAGGGAGAGGAATCCTCAAGCAGACTCCCTGCTGAGTGTGGAGCATGATGCAGGGCTTGATCCCATGATCCTGAGATCACAACCTGAGCCAAAACAAAGAGTCAGTCAGATGCTCAACCCACTGAGCCATCCAGGCGTTTAATTTTATAAAAAGCTTCCAAACTGTTTTCGATTGGCTGCACTATTTTACATTCCCATCAGCAATGTGTGATCCAGTTTTACCAAATCCTTACCAGTACTTGGTGCTGTCATTATTTTTTACTTTAGCCATTCTGATAGGAGTATAGTGATATCTCACTGTTGTTTTAATTTACATTTCTCTAATGGCAATTATGTTGAATAACTTTCAGATGTACTTACTTTCCAACTATAGCTTCTTCAGTAAATTCATATCTTTGGCTGTCTTCTATTTTCATTGTTCATTTTTTTTATTGTTGAGATTTCTGAGTTCTTTATATATTCTAAATGTTAGTCCCAATCTTTTGTTTGAAATATGGTTTGTAAATATTTTCCTCCAGTCCATAGCTTGTCTTTCATCCTCTTACTTGGGTCTTTGACAGAGCAAAAAAAAAAAAAATTAATTTTGATAAAGTCCAAAGTCTTTTATAGATTAAACTTCTGGTGTCAAATCTAAGGACTCTTATCTAGCTTTAAAACCTGAAGAATTATTCAATTTTTTTTCCTAGAAAATTTAGAGTCTTACTTTTTACATTTAAGTTTGTGATCTATTTTGAGTTGATTTTTGTATAAGGTTGAAGGTATAAATCAAAGTTTATTTAAAAATTTTTTTTTTTGCCTATGTGTGTCCAATTGCCCCAGCAACATATGTTGTAAATGTGATCTTTTCTTCCTTTGAACTGCTTTTGCACCATTGTCAAAAATCAGTTGGGCATATTGTGTGAATCTATTTCTTGGTTCTCTGTTCTGTTTGATTGCTCTATGGGGCTATCCCTCTGCTAAAAACCACACTATTTTGATTACTTTCAATGTATTTTAAGTCTAATATTGGGCAAAGTGATTCCTCCCACTTTATTGTCTTTCAGGGTTGTTTTAGCTACTCCAGAGTCTTTGCCTTTCCTTATAAATTTTAGAATAAGTTTGCATATATCTACAAAACAACCTTGCTGTGATTTTGTTAGAAATTACATTAAACCTAACTCAACATAATAAGGGTCATATATGAAAAACCCACAGCTAACATCATAGAAAATGGTGAAAAACTGAGAGTTTTTCCCTTAAGATCAGGTGCAAGGCAGGGATGTCTAGTCTCACCACTTTTATTCAACATAGCACTGGAAGTCCTAGCCACAGCAGTCAGACAACAAAAAGAAATAAAAGGCACCCAAATTACTAAGGAAGAAGTAAAACTTTCACTAATTGCAGATGACATGATACTGTATATAGAAAACCCAAAAGAGTCCACCAAAAAACTACTAGAACTAATCAATGAATTTAGTAAGGTCCTAGGACACAACATCAATATACAGAAATCTGTTGCATTTCTATACACTAATAATAAAGTGGCAGAATGAGAAATTAAGAAAACAATCCAATTTTCAATTGCATCAAAAATAATAAAATACCTGGGAATAAACTTAACCAAGGAGGTGAAAGATCAGTACTCTGAAAACTACAAAACATTGATGAAAGAAATTGAACATAATACAAACAAATGGAAAGACATTCCATGCTCATGGATTAAAAGAACAAATATTGTTAAAATGTCTATACAAAGCAATCTACATATTTAATGCAATCTCTATTAAAATACCAATAGCATTTTTCATAGAATTAGAACAAATAATCCTAAAATTTGC